GTTAGATCAGCACATTGGATCACATCAGCTAGAAACAGAGTATGCAGCATTTTTTAACAGTGGGTTTCCCGGCACCCCTAACCTCTCTGTCTCTCTCTAATTTGCCCCCACCCCATTTTTTCCCTGAACCTCCTGGGCATTTGCTAGCAGCCCGTTTAATAACTTCCACTGTTCTACGCCTCCTTCTCCCTTTTCTGTCTCTCTCTGCCTCTCTCTCTCTCTCTTGTCTGTCTCTCTCTCTCTCTCTCTCTCTCTCTCTCTCACCTTCAATCTCTTTCTCTCCTCTTCGGCTTCTCCTTTTTGCATGACCTCCGAAAGCTGCATCTATATCAATGGAATCATGTCAAGATTTTTCCAAGAAGCTTTGTTAGGGTGTATATACCCCAAAACCACAAAAATTTGATTAGCGTTTCTCATCTTTTTGATCTGTTTACTGTTTTGTTTCCTGTTTCCCCGTACACGGCCTTCCTGTCGCGGCTTCTCTTCCTCCTTGGGGATGGTCAGGGAAGGGGAAGGGAGGGGAAAGGGCTCCCCCGCCTTCTTTTAATGCGTCCTCTTCCAATTTGGGGGGACTAAATTTGGGGTACCTGTAGGGAGTAAAGGCCCTTTACCCTCACCTGCTCAACAGCCTGAAGATGGCGAGTGGGACCTCGTCGAAACGTCACCAAGATGCTCTCAATCTTACACGGGAAAAGACCCGAACACGCCAAGACCCGCATACCTGTGCCCGTGAAAATCTATGAAAACACACACACACACACACACACACACGTATATGTATATATGCATCTGCAAGCATTTTAGGAAAATAGACTTAGGAGTGCCTAGTTTTAACCATAATTGCAGGGCGTCCTCGTTTAGCAGCGGTCTTGTTTAGCAACTATTTGCAGATGATGAAATTTCACTGGGCGATGAGCAGCCCTCGACCCAAACTTATGACCCTTGTGGGTCTCTCAAGGAAAGGAGAGCTGCAGTCTGATCACAAGGGCAGTGGCCGTTTTGTTTAGCAACTGAGTTGCTGATGTCACTAAACGAGGACAGGTTTTCAATCCCTTTTTATTCCTTTTTTTTTTTGCATCTGGTCACAAGGCCAGGAGAATTAAAAAAAAAAATACAAAACAAGGTAGGCTAGCCATGAGAGATTTCAGGGAGTCTTCGACTTGTAACTACAAGCGAGGTGGTTGATATGCCTGATTTTTAGGAGCTTTTCCCACCCACCCACCCCCATGGTTGCTAAGCAAATTAAGCAGATCATTTAATATTAAGATGGATTGTGTTAGGCAAATACCAGCTTTCCTCACTGACTTTATTTGCTAGCAACAGCTTGAGCCAGTCAGGATCGAACTCCTGGAAGAGGGCAGAGTCAGCCTACAATACTGCATTCTAACCACTGCACCACCACAAAGAGAGAGGTAAAGGGTGCGTGGGTAGCAATAGCCTTTAGACTTATATACTATTTTGCAGTGCTTTACAAGCCTCTCTAAGCGGTTTACAGAGTCAGCCTCTTGCCCCCAACAATCTGGGTCCTCATTTGACTGACCTCGGAAGGACGGAAGGCTGAGTCAACCTTGAGCCTGGTGAGATGTGAGCTGCCAAATTGCAGGTAGCTGGCAGTCAGCAGAAGTAGCCCTGCAGTATAGCCCTCTAACCACTGGGCCACCATGGCTAGAAACTAGTTAGGAAGGTCACAAACGGCGATCAATCGTAAATACATGCCGGTTGCCGAGACCCTTAATTTTGATCACATGACCATGGGGAATGCTATGATCGTTGTAAGTTTGGGGACCGGTCATAAGTCACTAATCCCAGTGCCACCGTAACTTCAAACAGCAGCTAAATGAGCGGTTGTAAATCGAGGACTACCTGCCTAACCCTCTCAAGAAGGGCTGCATAGCCAGGTGTGAAACACAGCTGTTTTATCAGCACTTCTCAAAGGTTTTTTTTTTTCAAGAGACAACTGGACTTTCTGGGATTTTTTTAAAGACGTTTCGCTTCTCATCCAAGAAGCTTCTTCAGCTTTGGATGCTGGAGAATGGAAGGCTTTATACTCCTTGTAGACAGCTGGTCGTTTGCATCCTTTTAGAGAGTTGTTGAGGCCACTTGGAGGCTTGTGTGTGTGTCCTCAGGGTCACCTGAGTGTGGCAAATGAGTGTGGAGCCTTCTTGGACCTGTTGAAAGGACTGTGTTGTAGACTGGAGATCAGTGATGGACCTTCCTCAAACCTCAAAGCAACATTGTCATTCCACACGTGGCAGGAATATCGCAAAAGCTCAGGCGGATCTTCAGCCAACACAACATACGTGCCCCCTTCAAACCAGTGGTGGGATTGGAATAACTTAACAACCAGTTTTCTGGCTGGGTAGGCGGTTGCTCATGTGACTGGATGGGTGATGTCACTCATGTCACCCGCCACTCTCCTCAAAGGCAGGGGTAGGATTCAGACAATTGGAGCTAATCCCGCCACTGGTTGGCTCCATCCCCACTCATTTTTTCGGCCTGTATTTTGGCCATTTGGGGCATTTTCAGGCCATTTTTGGCTCTGAAAATGGCCCGAAAAAAGGCTTAAAAATGGCCCAAAACAGGCCATTTTTCTGGCTGTTTTTGGCAGTTTTCAGGCCGTTGTTTGGGCCATTTTCAGGCCATTTTTGGTGTGGAAAATGGCCTGAAAACAGCCCCCCAAATGACCCAAAAATGCCTGAAAATAGCCAGAAAAACAGCCAAAAACCAGGCCATTTGGGGGGCTGTTTGGGGGCAGTTTTCAGGCTGGTTTTGGGGCCATTTTCTGGACCACTTTTGGCCCAGAAAACAGGCCAAAAATGAGCGGGGGGTGGGGCCTGCCAGTGGTGGAATTTGCCGCTTTGCCAAACTGCGCAGAATCTTAACCACCAGTTCGTCCAAACCAATGCAAACCGGCCCTCAGCCACCTCTGCTTCAAACCTGAGAATACACTAAGGCAGAAGCTTATCCGCCCCAAGGATAAAACATCCAGACACAAAATGAGCCACGTGGCCTATGCAGTACAATACTTCACAAACACATGGCACAATGTAGGAGAACAAACCCATCAGGACAAGATTCCGTAGTCCGTGCATGTTTAAAAGACAAATGCCGCTCTTGTGGAGACAACGAAGTCCACATTTTGGACAGAGAGGATTGCTGGTTTCAAAGAGGGGTCAAAGAGGCAATCTAGATCAAAATTGAACAGGCCTCTCTCAGTAGAGGGGGAGGATATGACATAATCTGTCTCTCGTCTACAACAGTTCCAAGAAGGCTTCAGACCCATTTGCACTACTCAGGTGTCCCTGAGGACACAGATAAACCCCCAAGTGGTCTCAATGACCCTCCAAAAGGATGCAAATGACCAGCTGTCTGCAAGGAGTATAAATCCTTCCATTCCCCACCGTCCAGTCAGAGCGGAAGAAGCTTCTTGGCTGAGAAGCAAAATGCCTTCAGAGAAAAACCTGAAATAGTACCTGATCTGAGGACACAGATAAATCTCCAAGTGGTCTCAATGACCCTCCAAAAGGATGCAAACGACCAGCTGTCTGCAAGGAGTATAAATCCTTCCATTCCCCACCATCCAGTCAGAGCTGAAAAAGCGTCTTGGATGAGAAATATCTTCAAATAAAAACCTGAAAGTCCAGCTGCCTCTTGAAAAAAAATCACCTTTGGCATAACCATGACCTGGATGACGGAGAACCTCCGTAGACATTTTCCCAAATAATGGCCATCTAAACCAGGGGTGTCCAACCTTGGCAACTTTAAGACTTGTGGACTTCAGACTTTGCTGGCTGAGGAATTCTGGGAGTTGAAGTCCACAAGTCTTAAAGTTGCCAAGGTTGGACACCCCTGATCTAAACCAATAGAATATCTAGTTTTGGAAATTTTCTCTCCTGAATTTGAGACGTAGGAATGTGAATTTTCCAAAATGACACAAGATTGAGCCAGAAATTTCCGCTGCTAAGCAAAACAGTTCTTAAGTGAGTTTTGCCATCTTCCTTGCCATCACTGCTGTGAATCACTGCCGTTATTAAGTTAGTAAGATGGCTGTTAAGTGAGTCTGGCTTCCTTATTGACTTTCCCTGTCAATAAGGTCGCACAAGGGACACTGCAACCATCACAAATATGAGTCAGTTCCCTAGCGTCCAAATTTTTTATCACAGGACCATAGTGATGCTGCAACGGTCGTAAGAGCGAAAAACAAGTTATAAGCCACTTTTTGGGGGGTGCCGTTGTTAACTTAGAATGATCCCTAAAAGAATAGTTAAGTTGAGGACTACCTTTAAAAAGCCACTCTCCCCGTCTTCCACTTTTTTTATTTTATCGTTTATCCAGGTTTTTTTTTTTCTCTCCTCTTTCCCCTAAACTAGGTTACAGATTTTAAAGGCTATGCAGAACAAACCCCACTTTTTCATCTTGGAAGTTGGTGGCCCTGTTCTCGGGGTTTGGGGTGGCAGGACGTGCCAAGACACATGAGGGAAACCCCCTGGTCTGGACATATATGTGCCCCCTCTTTGCTTTTTCCAAAGATGAGAAATTGCTAATAAATTTTTGTGTCTATATTTGTGCTGTGATGACAGGTCTCAAACCGATCATTGGAACTTCTGTTGCTATGAAATATTGCTTTGATGTCTATAATTCTATATATCGTTTGTGAAAGTAAATTCTTTTCGAAGTTCTGTTTTATTTCCCCCTTTCCCCCCCCCCCCCTTTCCTTTCTTGATTTATTTCTTTGGCATTCCAATAATTTTTTAATTTCAGCCTTTTTTAATTTCGAAAATGAAGGAACTGCAAGTAATTCAAAAGCCCCCTCCCCCCGCCTGTATTTAAATTCTCTTCTGCTCTTTTTTTCCCCACTTTCCTGTCCTTTATCTTTTATTTTTCTTCTTTTTCTCTCTTTTTTCTCCCCCGTTGTGTTTTTTTCTTGTTTTCTTGTTTTCCTTATTCTTTTTTTTTTTCTTTCCGTTTTGTTTTGTTACCGCTGTGCATTTCGTCCGCAGTGCGGCGCGTGGCTCCACGGTTTTCCATCCCGCCCACCAGCCATGAAATCATGCCGGGCGGAAACGTGAACATCACCTGCGTGGCAGTGGGCTCCCCGATGCCGTACGTCAAGTGGATGCAAGGGGCCGAAGATTTGACGCCAGAAGACGATATGCCGGTGGGGCGCAACGTCCTGGAGTTGACCGACGTGAAAGACTCCGCCAACTATACATGCGTCGCCATGTCGAGTTTGGGTGTGATCGAAGCGGTGGCCCAAATCACCGTCAAATGTAAGTTTGCACCATTCCTTGATCGGTTTGCGCTTCCGGCTGGCTGACTTTGCTCCTTGGTTGATCTTGGCTCTTGATTCCTCCCCATGGCGGAGCTTAGCTTGATCGACAGCTGTTTGCCACAACATGACAACTCCTACGGATCTGGGGGTTTCATTGGACAAAACTGTGCTGTGGTTGAAAATCGGCTCCGTTTATTTTATTTTATTTTATTTTGAGGCGTTTCAGACCGAAGGGGATGTTGGTTAGGTGAGCCGATCTCTTCCCTAACCTAGATTCCCGCCTCTTCCTGTGCATGGCCGCCATTTTCTCCCCCTTTTCATCTGCTTGGACTCCCATCTTGTCCCTTCTGTCGATCGTCAGCACGGAATGCGTTTTGAGTTGCAAGTTGGAATCCTGTTTATTTAGGATTTCGGGTATAGACAAATCGAATGCCATCCCCCGGTTTGGCAACTGCAGCGTTGACCCCCGTCTTGCCTTTGGCTATGTGGATTGGAGCTCGTGGACGTTGTACAGGAAGTCCTCGACTTATGGCCGTGGGGGGAAGCGTTTCTGTGGATAAGCAAGGGTTAAGCCTTGGATTGGAGCCCTGGTGGTACAGTGGTTAGAGGGCAGCATTGCAGGCTAACTCTGCCTGCTGCCAGGAGTTTGATCCTGACTGGCTCAAGGTTGACTCAGTCTTCCATCCTTCCAAGGTCAGTAAAATGAGGAGCCAGATTTTAGGGGAAACAGGCTGACTCTATAAACCGTTTAAAGAGAGCTATAAAGCCCTAAATGCTATTGCTATCATCCATCCATCCATCTATCTATTTTTCTGTCTATCTATATCTATTTGTCTGTCTGTCTGTCTGTCTGTCTATCTATCTATCTATCTATCTATCTATCTATCTATCTATCTATCATTTACAATCTCTCTGTGTGTGTATGTCTCAAGAGCCCTGGTGGCACAGTGGTTAGAATGCAGCATTGCAAGCAAACTGTGATGACCCATAGTCTCTCAAAATAACTCAAAACCCAAAACATATATTTAAAGTCCGGTAAGGCCTTCAGCTTAACTTAACTGTTTTATTAGGCACAGTTTAAAGTCACAAAAGTAAATAATGAGGCAAACAGGAAACTAAAACAAACTGCATTGATGAGAATCCGAAGCAAGCCAAGATAACAAATCATAAACTCCAGGAAAATAACCGAGAAAAGCCCATGGGAAGAACGCCAGCAAAGTTAAACCTCTTTCAAGGGGAACACTAAATTGACTCCTGCAAATTCTAACTACGCAGTTGCAAACTTATAATACATAGCTCCCACCTGCAAACCACGAGGAGGATCGTGGTAATCTCCTCTTGAGTAGACCTCGCTTTTCCCTGATCCTCTCCTCCCTGCGTGACCTAGGATGGAGAGGGGATGGGCCTGGATCCGCCTCTTGACTGCCCAGCCGGCCTCTGCCCTTCCCCAGCCTCCTCCACCACCTCTGGAGCCACCCTCCCACTCCCTGTTGGCTGTTCCTCCTCTTCCTCAGAGTCAGTCTACACCAGGGGCATGACACAAACTCTGCCCGCTGTCAGGAGTTCGATCCTGACCAAATGAGGACCCAATTGTTGAGGGCAAGAGGCTGACTCTATAAACCGCTTAGAGGGGTATAAAGCACTGCGAAGCAGTATATAAGTCTTAGTGCTGTTGCTATCATCTCTCTGTCTATCTATCTATCTATCATCTATCTATCATCTATATCCATCTATCTATCTATCTATCTATCTATCATCTATCTATCTATCTATCTATCCATCCACCCATCTATCTATCATCTATTATCTATCTATCTATCTATCTATCTATCTATCTTTCTATCTTTCTATCATCTATCTATCATCTATCATCTATCTATCATCTATCTATCATTTACAATATCTGTGTGTGTGTGTGTGTGTCTCAAGAGCCCTGGTGACGCAGTGGTTGGATTACAGCATTGCAGGCAAACTCTGCCACTGCCAGGAGTTCGATCCTGACCAACTCAAGGCTGACTCAGCCTTCCGTTCTTCTGAGGTCGTTAGAATGAGGACCCAGATTGTTGGGGCGGGGCACAGGCTGACTCTGCAAACCACTTAGAGAGGCCTACAAAGCACTGTGAAGCAGCACATAAGTCCAAGAGCTCTTGCTCTTTCTGAGTCAGGCCCGATTTTACGAGCTTTTCCGCCAGCATTCTTAAGCGAATCGCCGAAGTTGTTAAGTGAACTGTGCGGTCGTGAAGTGAATCTGGCTTCCCCCCCCTTGACTTTTGCTTGTTGGGAACGTTCCAGAGGGCAAGCCTCGGTGCTACAGCCCAACGTAAACGCATGCCGGTTGCTGAGCACCTGGATTTTGATGGCGTAACCCTGGGAACGATTCCAAGGAACAGTTTGTAAGCCCCTTTTTCTCAGCGCTGCTGTAACATCCAAAGAACGGTTGTAAATCGAGGACTGCCTGTTGTCCAATATACCTGAAATGCATCCCATGGTCTGTCTCTGCATTTTCTCGGGGAATTGTGACTTCTGGCTAACTTCCCACATGGGGGTAAGAGAGCTATGCACGAGAAGAGCATTGTTGCATGACGTGATAGCAGCCTGTTGCATGTGTTCCAGAATTGCCCTCAAATGCTCCTTGGGGGTGAGGGGGGCTGCATGTCGCCCCCCCCCGCCACCGTGCTGTTTGCAAACAAGGTCCAGCCACAACCACAGCCTGCCTCATCTGCTTCGTGCATTTCTGTCCTCGAGACGCATGCGTGCCTCCTGTGTTCATTTGCATAGGTTTGTGGCCAGTTCGTGGGCTCTTCGGGCATGGCACCTGTATTGTGGGCTTTTTGGGGGGCGGGGGGTTGGACTAGAAGACCTCCAAGGTCCCTTCCACCTGGGTTGTTCTGTAATGAGGACATGAGGAGCATTTGACAGAGTAAAAGAGCCACAGGCGTCTCCCTTGCCCTTCTTCAGGAAAGAGCCTGGATGTATTTGTGCGTTGACCTGAAGGAAACCAGAGGTGTGCTATATTAACATCTGTATTTTGGGAATGGCCAAAGAGGAAAACAAAGGGAATATATTGGCTGAGATGATCCAGGGTTAGTGAACAAGCCAACATTTGCATTTTGGGAATAATCAAAGAGGAAAACAAAGTGAATGTTGGCCGAGATGATCCAGGATTAGATAACAAGCCAACATTTGTATTTGGGGAATAGTCAGAGGAAAACCAAGGGAATGTTGGCCAAGATGATCCAACATTCGTATTTTGGGAATAGTCAGAGGAAAACAAAGGGAATGTTGGCCAAGATGATCCAGGATTAGTTAACAAGCCAACATTTGTATTTTGGGAATAGTCAAAGAGAAAAACAAAGGGAATATTGGCCGAGATGACCCAGGATTAGTTTACAAGCCAACATTCGTATTTTGGGAAAAGAGGAATATTAGCCAAGATGATCCAGAATTAGTTAACAATCTAGAACTGTCTTTCTCAACCTTGGGCACTTTAAGATGCGTGGACTGCAATTCCCAGGGGCCTAGCATGTTGCTAACTTAATCATTGCAGTGATTCACTTAAGAATGGTGGCCCAAAAAACGTGGGGCAAAACTCGCTTAACAAATAGCTTGCTTAGCCATATAAATTTTGACATAATTGTGTTCGTAAGTCAAGGGCTTCTTGTATTGGCAAGCAAACGGCCATTTTGGGGGGGTACCCGGCCCACATGACTGACGCCAACCACTGAGCCGAACAGTTTCTGTCATGAGCCGCGGTGGCGCAATGTGGTTAGAATGCAGCACTGCAGGCTACTTCTGCTGACTGCCTGTTGCTGGCAGTTCGATTCTCCCTGGCTCAAGTTTCCCATCTTTCCAAGGTCAGTAAAACGAGGACCCAGATTGTTGGGGACCATAGGCTGACTCTGTAAACGGTTTAGGGAGGGCTGTAGAAGCACCGCAAAGTGGTGTATAAGTCTTAAGTGTTACCGCGATGGTTATTTCTGGGCCGATTGTGCTATTTAAGGAGGTTCCTAAACTCCACTTCACTAGGGTGAGGGTATTTCAGCCGCTGTTCTTCATGAAATGGTGCCCCTCGATGCCGCACGCTGGTTGCTTTTGTCGGCCAATTGGGGGAAACGTAGCACGTGCCGCGAGCGTGGCTGTATTCCTTTTCAGTCAATTCTTCCCGTTTTCCCAGCCTTTCCCAAAGCTCCAGGCACCCCGGTTGTCACCGAGACCACGGCCACCAGCATCACCATAACCTGGGACTCCGGAAATCCGGACCCCGTCTCCTATTACGTGATCGAGTATAAGTCGAAGAGTCAGGACGGGCCGTATCAAATCAAGGAGGACATCACTACGACCCGCTACAGCATTGGGGGGCTTAGTCCCAACTCAGAATATGAGATCTGGGTGTCGGCGGTGAACACCATCGGGCAGGGTCCGCACAGCGATTCCGTTGTGACCCGTACGGGGGAGCAGGCACCCGCCAGCGCCCCCCGAAATGTTCAGGGCCGGATGTTGAGTGCCTCGACCATGATCATCCAGTGGGAGGAACCAGTAGAGCCGAACGGCCAGATCCGGGGATACAGGGTGTATTACACCATGGAGCCCGATCAACCAGTCAGCAACTGGCAGAAACACAATGTGGACGACAGTCTCCTGACCACCGTGGGGAGCCTTCTGGAACATGAGACCTACACCGTGCGAGTCTTGGCATTCACATCCGTGGGGGACGGCCCGCTCTCAGATCCCATCCAAGTGAAAACCCAACAAGGAGGTGAGATTTTGTTCGGTCTAATAGTCAAGGCGCTGGGCTAGGAGACGGAGTTCTAGCCCTGTTTTAGTAATGAAAGGCGGCTGGGTGGTTTGGGGCCAATAACTAGGCACCAGTGAGTTCTAGTCCCGCCTTAGGTATGAAATGCTGGCTGGGTGACTGGACCAATCACCAGGCGGCGGTGAGTTCTAGTCCTCCCTTAGGCATGAAAGCTGGCTGGTTGACTTTCAGCCAATCACCAGGGGGTGGTGAGTTCTAGTCCCGCCTTAGGCATGAAAGCCGCCCAGCTGGGTGACTTTGGGCCAATAATTAGGAGACAGTGAGTTCTAGTTCCACTTTAGACCTGAAAGCCAGTTGGGCAACAATGGAGTTACACTCTCTGTCAGCCCAACCCACCTCACAAGGTTGGTGTTGTAGAGAAAATAGGAGGAGGAAATCGTGTCTCGGATAGATAGTAAGAAAGAAAGATGGATGGATGGATGGATGGATGGATGGATGGATAGATAGATAGATAAATAGATAGATAGATAGATAGATAGATAATAGATGGATGGATGGATGGATGGATGGAGATAGATAGATAGATAGATAGATAGATAGATAGATAGATAGATAGA